GGTGATCCTCCCCCTCTACTCAGCCCTGGGGAGGCCACACTTGGAGTACTGTGTCCAGTTCTGGGCTCCCCAGGACAAGAGAGACATGGCACTACTGGAGAGAGTCCAGCGGAGGGCTACAAAGATGATGAGGGTCCTGGAGCATCTCTCCTATGAAGAAAGGCTGAGAGAGCTGGGCCTCTTCAGCCTGGAGAAGAGAAGACTGAGAGGCGATCTCATCAACGTGTAAAAGTATCTGAAAGGGGGAGTGTCAAGAGGATGGGGCCAGTCTGTTCTCTGTGGTGCCTAGGGACAGGACAAGAGGCAACGGGCAGAAACTGAACCACAGGAAGTTCCATCTAAACCTGAGGAAAAACTTCTTTCCTGTGAGGGTGACAGAGCATTGGAGCAGGTTGCCCAGAGAGGTAGTGGAGTCTCCTTCACTGGAGATATTCAAAACCCACCTGGACGCAATCCTGGGAAATATGCACTAGAGGTTGGACTAGATGATCTCCAGAGGTCCCTTCCAGCCTCAGCCATTCTGTGATTCTGTGATTAGGTAAGAGTATGGTTTCATAGGACAAAAAGGGATCATAAGGTTGCAAAAATATGCAAGGACAAAATACAATCCTGCGTCTGCCATTCAGTGCTGGTCCCACTTATAAAGAACTGATTAGCTACATGTTCTTCTACAGATGTTGTAGCGGGAAGATTCTCTGACCGGGATCACAAAAAAATCATTTAAAGCAACTTATCAGGTTCATGTGAAGATGTCCATATTTTTCTATCTTTTTTTGGTTCTTCTTGTCTGATGAAAAGAAAATCTGAGAGCTGGCAAGGAATATAGAGCTGTCATGTTACTTACATGAAAATTTATAGCTTCTGTGTAACTTCTGCACTAGAACAGATTAGATAAAGCAAGCCAATCGCTGCAAACTGGTACAAAATTTTGGACTCTGGTGCGTCCTTTGTCCATGGAACACAATCAGATTTTCTCTTTGGTAAAGGAAAATGACTTAGAGCCTAACATCATTGCTACACTTAATCAGATTCCTCTCTTTAGAATGGCTACCTGTTTAGTAAGACTTGAACATCAGTTACGCCTGCCTGAAGCTACTGAAACGACCAGCATCCCTACAGCTTTCTTTTCTCTTTTTCAAATAGGTCTTAGAGCAAAAGAGTATACTGTCCTATAAGATAGGATTAATTGAAATGGAATATTACCTTAGGAACAATGACATACTTTTTTCCCCCTTTAACACCTGTAACTTAAATTGAATGTATTTACTCCAGAAGGATAAATTGCTCTGTGGAAAAATCTTTCAGTATTTTTTTCACCTATTTTACCCCCTATTCTTCTGACTTGAGTGACTTATTCAGAAACTGTGGAGAAAGTTCTTATTCTCAGAAATGTTTGCTTGTCAGTGAAACTGACTCCAAATGGGCCTGATGTTCAGACAACAAATCATCAGAGGAAAGATGTGGAGACCAAGCTGAGGTAGATACAGTGAGGTCAGCACTGCTGAA